GCCCAGGCCTGTGGCTCAGCAAGAGAGAGGTCGGAGTCGGGCATGGAACCCCACAAAGGGGCCCGGCCCCTGCCCAGCCTGCGGATGAGGCTGGGAGGGTACGCTTCTTCTAGTGAGCCCAGGAGCCCCACCTCTGACACCTGCCCGGTCACGGTCACGGAGAAGTCCGGTTTACTCTTGACCAGAGGGGCTCCCTATGCAGGAGGGCTGACCAGGCCTCGGGACACCCCCTCCTACCACCCCCGCCCCCGAGCCTTATCAACTGCAGCTGAGTCTGATAAACCGATGCCAACAGGCCGGCTTTCCCAGGCTTTCCAAAGGATTGATTTTTTGACCGTCCAGCCTGCACGGTCAGGCTGAGTGAGGGACGAAGGGGATGGGGCCCTGGGTCTCAGCCGCTGGGAGGCAGGGGATTTGCTCTCTGGGTTTGGGCTTGGGCGCCGCCCCACCCGCTGCCCAGCCCCGCGGGAGCTAGTGCTGCTGCTCAGGGTGTGAGGCTGAGCACTGGAGGGTGCGGCCAGGGAGCCTGGGCTGCTCCCAGAACCTGCTGTGCGACTTGCCAGAGATCTCTCCCCCTCCCTTCGCCACCGGTGTAGCTCAGGGTGGTCTAACAGGTTTCCTCTTCATGCCAGTGGGTCTACCTTAGAGGCCGCCTGTGGGTTTGGAGGGGAAGGTGCTGGGATTGGTGGGTGATGCCCACCGTGGGAGCGGGCAAGGTGGGCGGCACAGGTGTGGCTGCATTTGCCATCTTCCCAGCAGACGGCAGCTGAGTGCTCGCTCAGCACCACGACACTGTGACTCTGTGTCTACTTTGGAAGCTGCCCCGGAGGCTTCAGGGAGCGGAGCGGGGTGCAGGGTGAATGTCTGTGTTCATCCTCACAGTCTTTGCTCTGGAATCCCACAGGGCACTGGGCCTCAGGCCTCTCAATCAGGTCTGTCCCACCCCTGGCGCTGCTTTCCCGCTCGGTCAGCACCGCGTCGGGTGAGAGAGGAGGGACCTCTTGTAAGGAGGCGTTGAGAGCGTGGGCTGTGGACCAGACGGGGAGCTCGACTCCCACTCCACCATCTGCAGGTCACCTCTCTGAGCTCAGCGTCCTCATCTATGAGATGGGGATAGTCACAGCACCTGCACAGGATTGTGGTGAGGGTGGCGAGATGTCTGTAACGTTCTGAATACACTGTCTGGCACACATTAGCCCTCGATCATTGTCACCATCATCATCATCATAGCTGTCTCTCCCTCCACCTCTTCCCATCTGGGGGGCTGGGGTCCTCGCTGTTCAGACATCTGCGTGCCCAGCATTTGTGGTGCCAGCATTCCTGCCCGCCCAGTGCTCTCTCCACTCTCATGTCCTCGACTCTGCAGCCAAGGTCTCCACGGGAGCCCCAGCCTTTCTGCCTCTGAGCCTTTGCATAGGCTGTTCCCGCCTCCACAAGGCACAGCTGAAGGTCACCTCCTCCCTGATGCCTTCCCTGACCCCATCCATGGGCAGGGGGTGGCCCTCCTGGAGCCCAGAACACTTTGCCCCACTGCTCTTGGCTCGATTGGCACTTCTACCCCAACAGGTAATCAGCACCCCCTTCTGGGGCCCCTGTAGTCCCTGACATGGTGCTGGTATGGTACTTTGAAGCAGGAACCATGAGCCAAGCTTGTGGTCGTTGCCATGGTGACAATTAGCACAGCCTCCCTCTTCAGGGCTCCCAGTGGGTGGGGGGAGTCAAGGGAGAAGTGCGGGGGGCCAGGCGCTGGGACAGGGGAGGCGGGGACAGGCATGTCCAGACTGCAGGGTGGGGGGCTGGGGAAGGGGACAGCTCAGCCATCCTATCAGCCTGAATGGCTGGGAAGGGGCCATCCCTGCCACAGGGCTCAGGGGGTAGGAGGGCACTTGGGGCTGTGGGAGGAGGGAGCCGGGCAGGTTCTGGAAAGGAGATTTTTCTGGGACC